TATCAAAAAAATAATTCAGATCCCTTTTATGGAGTTGTTGCCCTTTGTTGTTTTGTGTGTATTTATATTTATTGTAGAATGATTACCAAAGTATAAATGTTGTTTTGTGCGAATTTATATTTATTTTAGAATAAATACCAAAGTATAAGTGTGAAAACTGTTGTTTTGTGTGTATTTATATTTATTGTCGAATGAATACCAAAGTATTAGAGTGAAAGTTGTTGTTTTGTGTGTATTTATATTTATTGTAGAATGAATACCAAAGCATAATTGTGAAAGTTGTTGTTTTGTGTGTATTTATATTTATTGTAGAATGAATACCAAAGCATAATTGTGAAAGTTGTTGTTTTGTGTGTATTTATATTTATTGTAGAATGCATACCAAAGCATAATTGTGAAAGTTGTTGTTTTGTGTGTATTTATATTTATTGTAGAATGAATACCAAAGTATAAGTGTGAAAACTGTTGTTTTGTGTGTATTTATATTTATTGTCGAATGAATACCAAAGTATAAGTGTGAAAGTTGTTGTTTTGTGTGTATTTATTTCTATCTTAGAATTTGTCAGACAATCATTGACTTTGTGATGAGCGAATATCATAATATAATATATTCAATAAATAATTCATTAGACTATTTTGGTTTTAACTTTGTGTTTATTTTATGTCAGTATTTTCCAAACATTCCTGACCTTGAATTCTGCATCAGATTGACCTTTTAAAAAAGTCAAATAGAAAACAAATGCTAAAACGCTTCATTTCACCATTATGGTAAAGTGAAGGGCATAATTTTTGTAATTTTCATATTCAGGACATCAAACTGATGTAATCTAAACCAGATTTGGTTTAAAAAAGTCAAATAAGTCAAAATTGCTAAAACCCTTCATTTCAACATTATGGTAAAGTGAAGGGCCCCTGCCCCACCCTGATTTTCTCTACCCCTGACTTAATTTCTGTGATTTTCATATTCAGGACATCAAACTGATGTAATCTAAACCAGATTTGGTTTAAAAAAGTCAAATAAATCAAAATTGCTAAAATCCTTCATTTCACCATTATGGTAAAGTGAAGGGCCCCTACCCTACCCTGATTTTCTCTACCCCAGACTTAATTTCTGTGATTTTCATATTCAGGACATCAAACTGATGTAAACTAAACGAGATTTGGTTTTAAAAAATCAAATAAATCAAAATTGCTAAAATCCTTCATTTCAACATTATGGTAAAGTGAAGGGCCCCTGCCCCACCGTGATTTTCTCTACCCCAGACTTAATTTCTGTCATTTTCATATTCAGGACATCAAACTGATGTAATCTAAACCAGATTTGGTTTAAAAAAGTCAAATAAATCAAAAATGCTAAAACCCTTCTTTTCACCATTATGGTAAAGTGAAGCGCCCAAGCCCCACCCTGGTTTTCTCTACCCCAGACTTAATTTCTGTGATTTTCATATTCAGGACATCAAACTGATGTAATCTAAACCAAATCTGGTTTAAAAAAGTCAGATAGAAAAAAAAAGAAAAAAAACCCCTTTATTTCACCATAATGGTAAAGTGAAGGGCCCCTGCCCCACCCTGATTTTCTCTACCCCAGACTTAATTTCTGTGATTTTCATATTCAGGACATCAAACTGATGTAATTTAAACCAGATTTGGTTTAAAAAAGTCAAATAGAAAAAAAAAATGCTAAAACTCTTCATTTCACCATTATGGTAAAGTGAAGCGCCCCTTCCCCACCCTAATTTTGTTTTACCCCTGACTTAATTTTTGTCATTTCAGATAGAATACATCAAATTGAAGTAAACTTAAAGAAAAAGAATGGAAAAAAGTTATCAGAATAGAAATCGTTGGAACCCTTCATTTCACCATGGGGCGGTCCATATTACCATACTATACCGGGCAAACTATACCATACTGTACCACGGTACAGAAAGCTAGGAAAAAGTGTAACGCGTGATTTCATGGTACACTTTTTTTTATATCTATTTGTACCGTAGGTGGTACAAAAAGAAATGAAAAAAGTGTAACGCGTTACTAAAAGGAGAGAAGCTTTAATATCTTTTTGTACCGGGCAAAAGTGTACCACTGTACAGAAATATATGAAAATTCAAATCATTTTTCCGGCTGATATCGGCTGTTGGTACATATACATGTGAAAGTAAAGAGGTTTTTTGTAAAGTTGTTTATAATCTTTATGTACCATGGTACACTTTTACATGGTACACAAAGATTTGAATTTTCATATCTTTGTGTACCATATGAATATATGAATATGAAAATTCATATCTTTTTGTCAGGCTCTTGTCGGCCATCGTAGGTAGTGGCTTGCGATATTAATGGTTAACGTAATCATACATTTTGTCATCGTCATGAGTTTTTCGTTTGGTGCATATGTTACTTGAAAATACTCATCGGCGGTTGATCGCGATACCTCCAGGACGGGTATGTCCAACGAACAGGACGTTTCTTAATTACAAGCATTACTCGAAAGGTTCTACTCCACCATTTCCGTCGCCCTTCCTTTTGTCTTTAGCTCTCATGAAAGCTGACGTGCCATGTTGAGAAAAACTCTGCCATATTGTTCAAATTTGTATGTTTATCAGTAAACGATATTAACTTATCAATGGGCAGTTTTATAATAAAGTTTTATAAATACCCTGATATGTGCTTAGGGAAGTCTCGTCTTGGTCCCTAACAATTCGCACTAGCTACAATAAAGATGGCCGAAACACACAAACATGTGACTGCACCTTGTAAGTTGATGATAGATACAGTAGGACAAAATAAATTACGCACCATCATACAGCTGTTTCGTCCTACATCATACAGCTGTTTCGTCCTACATCATACAGCTGTTTCGTCCTTCTAGGACTCATCGGTGATGCTGGGAACGAAACACATTATCATAAGACACTAATCTATTGTATTTGTTTTAAATGCAAGAATTATCGCGTCATTGTACTGTCGGCTGGGTTAAGGTCACATGACCTACCGGGTGTATAAGGCGTCTTACAACATTATAATTCTGAAGACAAAGTTAAAACTTATCACATATGTTAAAACATTGAATGACATTTACCATATATGTAACAGGAAGGAATTTTGAGAGATTTATTTCAATTTTGGTTTTTGTAACAGATTTTATCATTAATTCAGATTATATGTCATACTATAATATTATTACTCTGTAACTGCTGTCACTTAAATACCAGCTTGTATTTGTTATATATAACAGAACGCTTTATAAGTTGTTATATCTTTCGTCTATATTTGTTAATTTGCTTAGATACTATTCCACTTTTAAAAACTGAGATGTATGTTTCAATTTCAGGTCGATTTTATTTTTGGGTTGTTAGGTTTCACTCTCATTCAGTAGGGGCTATTGTCCGAGTATGTGTTTTTATATTAACGATGGCCGCTATTATATTTACTGCTTGAGAAAGAAACATAGAAAATGATAGAACAATTTACAAAAAGGATACATTATATTTTCAGTTACAGTGTGACAAGTTACTATTACCGCTCAATACATATCAAACTACAAAAAATACAGTCATTTTATAATTGTGTTACAGCACTTTCCATTTTTTTTCAGCCTGATATTCATGGCAATGTCAGTGTGAAGAACTAGCTGTATTTCTGATGTGTTTTGTCTAAGTGTTAATAAGATGTGAACGGTTATTCCGTACATTTGATTAACACCACAGACGTTTTCGATTTAGCCCATATTTAAATCAACACTACACAAGACTACGAAAGATTTCTCTATTCTTTAAAAATTAATATTTTAAACACAAATTTGAAAATATGTTTTCGCGAGATTTTAGAGATTGAAATTCGATGAACTTTCTTTGTTATTTCAAAAATTAGTCCTAAGTATAGGGTTTAATCGGGAAAATAAAGTAGTCCTAGGTGTAGGGTTTAATCGGGAAAATAAAGAAGTCCTAGGTGTAGGGTTTAATCGGGGAAATAAAGTAAAAAAGGTAGTCCTAGGTTTAGGGTTTAATCGGGGAAATAAAGTAGTCCTAGGTGTAGGGTTTAATCGGGAAAATAAAGTACTGAAAAAAGATTGAATGAAAGAATGGATTATCAAATACGATACGGAGTAAAATATTGGAATATACTAAGTGAACGAGGAGCGTTATGGAGTGGCTGAGGGGAAAGAGGAAAATTGAAGTAGGTAAACACAAAAGGTCATGACATACCGGAGATCACTACATCCGCAGGAAGCTCGCACTTATATATCGATGTTATAAATGATTCGTCACTTGAATATAAACTTCTCACCTTTAAGGATCCCAGAGTATTTGATACGGATTAAACCAAGTTTTCGTTTAAAAGTTAATTCATATATGACTTAAATAACATATGAATATCATTAATAAAGAACGGTGACGTTATGCTGATATCCTTTCTAATAGCTATATATTTTGGAGTATCTTGTTTTGGTTCAAAAATATTAAAACTAAGAAGTAACACTTCTTCAATAATTGAGTTTGTAGAAGAGGTCAAACAAAGCAAACTGTTTAGCTACATGTATTTAGTCAATGTAGGACGTCTCTTCAATGGTGCTGAATGTCAAAATAATGAACAAAACACGTCTGAATTGTTCTAAAGTATATGTGGAAATACAGCACAAGAGGTATGGGGCCGTCAATCACCTACAAACCAAAGGGGGGTTGTAGGTGATCGACGGCCCCATACCTCAATTTATTCTGAAATATATCAATCTGCAAGGTTACGACCAAGTTGGGAGATTGATTACTTCCATTTGAATTAATTTGCGTTGGTGTTTTCTTTGTTCTATGCTAAACTTTCATGTCGACTCTTAAGTGTTTAGTCTGCCCTTGTTTACTGACGCTGTTGTATTGAGTGAGGTATCGGATAATCTGGTCACCTTTGTTTATAATGTATCACTGTTATTGATTTGTTTTGTTTTCTAGTAATAAACTTATAACGATTTGTACGTGAATAAGAAAGTGCAATGAATGAAAAACACAGAGTGATTAAGACGAAAATAATATGTATTTGATAATTTTTTACACCATAAATATAAAAAAGTTTAAATATCATACAAAAATTATTAAGACCGATCCAATTTCATAACTGTACAGAACTTATTACATCAATATAATAAATGTCAAAACCCTTTGACAAAATTAGAGAATTTGATCTTTAAGGCAGATAGGGTGATTCACTTTTTTGTTTCTGTGATTAATTGTTTTTTGTCACTCTGATGTTTCCGATGATATGATTATATCAGAAACCATCGGGTTGGTCTTTGCTTAAGAGAAAGAGTTTAGCTGTCGTTAAGACATCTACACCAGCAAAGGAAATATCCTCCAATGTTTTGTTATCACGAATGATATAGACAGTTGCTATTCTTCTTGTTCCAATTTGGTTGTTTCACAAAACCTTGATTTTTGAATTAATTCTATAGATCCGAAGCTCCAATCTATGTACATATCACAAGCTCCTGGTTCTTATTCTCTAGCCATAGATTCCCCTTGAGTAGTCTCCCCTGGTCGGATTTGCTGAAGAAAGAAAAAAGGAAAAAAATAATGATGACATCCAATTATGTTTGATGTTCATGATATCAGTATATAACAAACTATTAGGTTATAATAACCCACTGTGTCAGTCCTCACGCTTGCGAAGCTGTTTTTGTGTTCTGTTTGATTGTACTTACTCCAATGTTTTATACTTTGCCTGCATATTTAGTAACATTTTTTCGTTTTCTCTCCCTTGTTTTTTCTTTTTGGTCATAATTAGTAAGTTGTTATGTATTCTGTTTGATTGATTTTTGTGAGTTGTTCCGTGGTCTAATACAGGTTTTAACATTTGACGACTGTCTTTGATATCTTTGGTTTAATGTTGTCGAAATATCTCCTTATTTTGTATTGTTCTGTCTAGATTTATTTCTATTTTGTCATATATTGTCTGGCTTTCTCAATAATTGTTCATGTTTGTCCAGATGTTTATGAATGTTTACCTTATTTTCATTTAGCTTATTATCATGCCTATTTTATCAAGTTTCGTGAGTGACATACTAAATTCCTGTAACTTCTACTTTTAAAGAATAACGGAAACATAGAAACCTGTTTAGATGGGAGAAGAAAGGGCGTTTAACCTGCATCAGAACATCAGTAGCTGTATGCTAGTACCTAAAAGCACCGTATTACCTGTTTAGGTCAACAGTGTCACATTATCTGTATAATTAAACTGTGTCATATTGCATTACTTAGACCTGTGAAACTTGCGTCGTTGATATTTGCCTAAGTTTGGAGAGGTTTTAGAAATACTGAAAAAATACGCTAGCTTTTCCTTTTTTTTTGTAGCAAAATATTGATCTTTTATAAACTTTTTACCGGTAAGAAGTCACTGAAGTAGAAGAAGGTAAAATCGCGAACTTTTGGTGGAAGCTTTTCAATGAATTACTTTAGAAATTGCACTACGTCTACGCACCGAATCAATATACGTGTTTTTCAGTGCTATTATTGACAATGACCCTTATAACTGTTTGAATGAAGATATTGATTTTGTGTCAGACATGAGAAATGGTGTTTTAGACAATTTTGTTGGATTTGGAATAATATGATAGCTCCAAATATTTTTTTGTATGTGTGATTAAATTTTATGTGCTGACTATATTGTATTATATTGTAGTTCAAGTGTGAAGCGTTTTAAAACGTACCATCTTTGTGTACCTTAACAACAACCACTGTCGTCAAAACAACTCGTGGGTCTAAGGTGTTAAGGCACATGTATATATTAAAGCGTGCTTAGTCATGCCTTTTACCTATATATTTGTATCGCCGAATTGCATGTATAACTTGACCCGTGCTTCCCTTGACGTAATGTACACACCTTTATAGCAACAGAAATTCCTTTACTTGAGTAACATTCCGACAGGAGAAGTACGATTTTACGTCAGTAACATTCCGACAGGAGAATACGATTGTACGTCAGTAACATTCCGACAGGTGAAGTACGATTTTACGTCAGTAACATTCCGACAGGAGATGTACGATTTTACGTCAGTAACTTTGTGTGATTTCTCTTGTGTTTATAATGTGATTTATACCTACTTTCGTCAAATAGTATCATAATAAATATTCATGCAGAATGGAACAAGCACCTGTCCAAGAGGATAGTCATCAAGCATTGTCCAACGTTTCATCCCCTCTAGTTACCGTTGCCTATATCTACCCCTTCATCTAGTTACCATCGTATAGCTACCACCTCTAGTTTAAGCTCTACATAGTAACCATTGATGATAATTATCATTGCCTATAGTTACCACTACTATTGTCCATGTTCTTTGATTCCAAACTTTTTGGCTTTATCGTGCATATTCATAATGTGACTGATTCAAGTGAAATAGAACCATTGAAAGGGCAACGGCATGCAATCATGTTGTTTTTCTTCGGATGTTTACATCAATTTGCAAAACTATTATACCCGAACGAACAGTACCAGGGAACATCAAGCTGTCTTCTAATTGTTTACTGATGTCTAGTACAGTTCTTTGTTTTATGTCACTCCAATCTTTGCCTATGACAAATCAACCACCGTTTAGGTTACTCATCGTATCTTCTTTCTTTTCTTGCAATTGTAGGATTCCAATTGAAATTCTACGTGTTCTATATCGCTAACAATGACTGTAATAAAAAAAAAAAAACAGTTATACTGGTGGCTGATAGATTGATTTGTGGATTTTTTAACCAGACACAAATGAGATCAACGTTTGCGGCAGAGTGTTTTAACCAGACACAAATGAGATCAACGTTTGCGGCAGTGTTTTTAACCAGACACAAATGAGATCAACGTTTGAGGCAGTGTTCCGGTTACGCTCGTTGACTGTACTTGGGTTGTTAACAGTATCAACAAAACCATGTTGTGCTTGGTTACGTTAGCTAAGGTGGGGTCTCTGGGAAAACCTACATTTGGTGAACTACATACGATTATGTATAACGCTACCCACACGCGATATTAACAAACACCAATGTACAACATAGGAGAAGTGTTATCATGTGTTTGAATTATACATTTCTTAATACTATTAAATATAGTCTTGCATTGCTTGTCTCTTAAAAACTATGTATGTAAATGTGCCGAGAAATGTCATAAATTATCAACTCCTGAAATGTATAGCCGTACTCGGGTTTCTATTGCCTGCCGGTAATCTTTCTATTTATGTCAAAATATTCCATATACTCTCCACTTGTCAAAACCAAACATTCAGTTTAAGAAAACAGTTTTGAAGCATTCGAATATTCTCGTTGTCATGTGAAATTGTTCGTTTGCAAATGTGTTTGTCACGACGTTTGGCATTTCAGTTACCCAAGAAGACCAAACGATTAAATAACAATTTTGACATAAAACAACAATAAATTGTATTTAATCACACATAGAATTTACTAAATATCCACCATAAGTTAAATATGACGTTGTACTTTCGAGTATTTTGTCTTACGAAAAAAAATTCATGTTAATCTCCTACAAAATAAAACCTCTACAGTAATTGAATTTGAAGATATATTTGTCGCATTCCTTGTAAGGAACAACACAGACAACGCTAAGGATGTTACAAACGCAAAGGAACGGTTTTAATGATTAGGTTTCAGGAATGGCGTTCGCTGTAAATGACTCAACCTATGATAATTATGGAACAGTTACTAATTTATGGAAATATTGATTTTAGTGCACGCTTCTTTTTCTTTGCAAAAACTATCTAAGCATTTACCAGCGCTTAAAACGTTTCCACGATGAAATATATGTGGATTTATTTTAATATCAAATTGATAATATTGAAATTAGAATAAATTGTATATCACATAAATCGTCGACAAAAAAACGCACTCTATTGAAACAATTCACGTGCTCTTGATATAACAGGTAACTGTGGACCGTCCCCAATGCGGATCTTTGTGTACGGTTTGTTTTGGATACTAGCTATGCGCAACCGCAAAATATTTACTGGTCGTCATGACAAAGTTCCTAATCATAGCTGTTCAATACAAAGCGGGGTTCGTCTTTCGATAATGGCTGTGCGGTAGCGTGACTGTAGCTGTGCCTTGGCGTAGTGTGTGCATTGTATATGACCGTGTAATTATGGGTATGAACAGAGCTGCCATAAATATATTCGTGGTCAATATGTATATCAGAATAACCTACACTTCACGTACAGGTCGAGCTACTTAAGCCACATAGTATCGACTTCAATGGTAATCTTTTAAGTATTGGGATTAGTCACTGTATACTCATTTTTTTCAAATTGCCTTCAATTTTGACATACGAAACAACTGCGAACTAAGCGCCTTTATTTACAAATTATATAGGGCGCTATATAAATGTTGTATATTATTATCATTATTATAATACAGCGAGTACCGCGTATAACAGTAAATTAACTTCCTAGTCGCCGGTGACATCGTGTTGACATGTTCAGACCAGTCTATAAGGTCGATGGTTAGCTGTCAACGACCTAGCATACTGATAACACGGTCCTGATGACAATAGGACACTACAAACGTCAAGCTGGGTCGAGAGGAATACTTGAATAGAATAGCAAAAGAATCGAATGAAAGTTCATTTTTTTCAAATGGCGTTTTATCTCTATTCCCATTTTCGCGCTTGAACAGTTCAAGCTTGGTGCGGATAGGTGCGAGGCTAGTTACCGTACCTTATCATGCGAAACCTTTGATGTCCCCGGTATGAATTAAGACGGGGTTATTAGACTGTCTGGTAGCTTGCCTGATGATACGTATTCATTTCTCTGCTGCGTTCATTTTATCATAGCTATTCATAACAAAGAGTGTACCCCAAGTTGCGTGTTGTGTTCCGTTATTTCATCAAAGATAGCTGTCACCGTCCAAGTAGATTTTCAAAGAAAGACATTTTGGTTTTAAACTTTTATGTAATAAATGATGTTGTAGAAATGACGTCACGTAGGAACATTTACACGTTCTGTTAAATCTTATTGTAAAGAGAACTATGATATTATACGGTAAAAGTGGATAGTTACCGCGGTGTGGAAACTCACGATTTTCGCGTTAGCTAAATAAGCGCCAAGATATCAACTTGCAAGTTGATATCTTGGCTCTAGATGGCGGTATATTTTCCGTAAGAACATTAATCAAAGTGTGAACAACGGTTTGTGTAATTCGTGTGATCTTTGTATTTGTGATTATTATGATATCCATTTATTTATCACGAAAAAGTGTATGTAATTCCTAGAGCCAAACGTAAAACATGATACAATATGTGCACCTGTTGATGACGAGTGCCATGATACAATATGTGCACCTATTGATGACGAGTGCCATGACACAATATATGCACCTGTTGATGACGAGTGCCATGATACAATATGTGCACCTGTTGATGACGAGTGCCATGACACAACATGTGCACCTGTTGATGACGAGTGCCATGATACAATATGTGCACCTGTTGATGACGAGTGCCATGATACAATATGTGCACCTGTTGATGACGAGTGCCATGATACAATATGTGCACCTGTTGATGACGAGTGCCATGATACAATATGTGCACCTGTTGATGACGAGTGCCATGATACAATATGTGCACCTGTTGATGACGAGTGCCATGATACAATATGTGCACCTGTTGATGACGAGTGCCATGATACAATATGTGCACCTGTTGATGACGAGTGCCATGATACAATATGTGCACCTGTTGATGACGAGTGCCATGATACAATATGTGCACCTGTTGATGACGAGTGCCATGATACAATATGTGCACCTGTTGATGACGAGTGCCATGATACAATATGTGCACCTGTTGATGACGAGTGCCATGATACAATATGTGCACCTGTTGATGACGAGTGCCATGATACAATATGTGCACCTGTTGATGACGAGTGCCATGATACAATATGTGCACCTGTTGATGACGAGTGCCATGACACAACATGTGCACCTGTTGATGACGAGTGCCATGATACAATATGTGCACCTGTTGATGACGAGTGCCATGATACAATATATGCACCTGTTGATGACGAGTGCCATGACACAATATGTGCACCTGTTGATGACGAGTGCCATGATACAATATGTGCACCTGTTGATGACGAGTGGCATGATACAATATGTGCACCTATTGATGACGAGTGCCATGATACAATATGTGCACCTGTTGACGACGAGTGACATGATACAATATTTTTATTTATTTATTCATGTTTTTGTTCTTCTAGGTCAACTTAGTTATCATTTTATATTGTATTTTTGGAAATTGAATTGAATTTGTATTTTTGGAAATTGAATTGAATTTGTTTTTTTTATGTTCTCAGTGTATAGAAGTATCGTTATCATCAGACTTCCGGTTATAAACAAGTGACCTATTGACCCTTTATTGATCAATATGATTTGTGTTGTTGACTTCGTATACACAAAAATTAATGTCTTCTGCCTTGATGTGTGAACCGATTATTGATATTTGTAAAGGCTTACTTAGCGGTGAACAGGTCCGGAACAAACCACACATCAGTGTGGTCAGTGTGTCTATTAAATGGTCTAGTGGTCATTCGGGTAATTGGATCAATGAGCAGTTTATATAACATAAATGGACTGTCGTGGTCAAGGCTAATAATAAAATTTGGCCAGAACCCGATAATAGGTATTTTTATACTTGATTACATACGTCAATATATCGAAATATGTAGGAAAGGACAATATTTACAGAAAAAACGATTCAGTTATCTAAATGCTGTCAAAAGCATTGTATTCTTTGTTTTGATTAAGGAATTCGTGTCAATACACGTTCATACTTTAAGTGTAGCTTTTAAGATAAATAAGGACACTGTCTACCTATTTAATTCAAATGTTTAAGTTAACAAAAAGGGTATTATCATGGTAAATATAAAAAAGAGAATGTACTGCGTGTGTATGCATGTATTATTATCATATCTTTTAACGTTGTACCTTACTCGACGAGATACCATGTGATAAATGTGGTAAAAAAACATCTACAATGATGTTTTGGAATGCATTTTAACTATAACTAAATTTCAATGATGCAGTGAACTAATAGCAAACCATTGACGTAACTTCCTCATTGCGTGACTGAAATACACTGAGTAAACCACTTACCCTACTGGCAAATACAACGGTTAAATTGCTGACAAGGTTACAGTTTAACTACAGCTAATATTACAGTTAACTTCCTGTCAGTTCTTCAGTTAACTTGTCGATAATGCTACTGTTAACTTGTTGGAAATGTGTCAGTTAACTAAATGTCAAACTACAATGAACTTGCTCGTCAATAACACAGGTCACTCACTGACATGACAGACAGACGTGCGCAGCTTAGTATATTTTTCATTATTATGTTTTACTATTTGAAATTAATTATAAACTAATACTAGAACTGATTTATTAAGTCATATATTTGTAGATAGTGTACGACAGATTTTTGAACGTGTGATTCTGTGTAGAAAGCATAACAACAGATATACGTAGTGTGATTTGCCAGTGTCGACTCTGCTGCAGTTATTGTACATGATGGATTACGTATTTGTTATTAAAAGTTTACTTATTGCATACAAAACAAAAGAAGAGTAATAGTACTTATTGCATACAAAACAAAAGTCGAGTAATAGTCCGTATTGCATACAAAACGAAAGTAGAGTAATAGTACGTATTGCATACAAAACGAACGTAGAGTAATAGTACGTATTGAATACAAAACAAAAGAAGAGTTATAGTACGTATTGCATACAAAACGAAAGTAGAGTAATAGTACTTATTGCATACAAAACGAACGTAGAGTAATAGTACTTATTGCATACAAAACAAAAGTCGAGTAATAGGACGTATTGCATACAAAACGAACGTAGAGCAATAGTACGTATTGAATACAAAACAAAAGAAGAGTTATAGTACGTATTGCATAGAAAACGAAAGTAGAGTAATAGTACTTATTGCATACAAAACAAAAGTCGAGTAATAGGACGTATTGCATACAAAACGAACGTAGAGCAATAGTACGTATTGCATACAAAACGAACGTAGAGTAATAGTACTTATTTCATACAAAACAAAAGTCGAGTAATAGAACGTATTGCATACAAAACAAAAGAAGAGTAATACATACCTGAGCATCCTGTACCAATGCACAAATTGGGCAGAATAAATGAACTAAACAGTCACCACCAAAACCACCCTGAAATAGACAAAAACATGAAATGGTAAGAAACGTGTAGACTATACGTGATGATGGAGATAAATAAAGTTACCACTCGTTGGCACAGCTGTGGGATATCAGCATCATGGTGTTGATTTAGAATACATGCCATTCCAAACGTATCGTATTCAATTCACTAATCTTCTGCAGTCGGTAAGTTAATTACAATCACAAATTAGCAGAACTGATTTGTACATTATACAGTAACATTGCGTTTTCGGAGAGAAGCAATTGCTGCAGCATCTATCTTATTTTTTGTATTAATCTTTTTATTTTCACGATTACACGACAAAAACAAAAATACATACACAATTAAAAAAAAGAACTTAAAAGTGTTGATTTCATCCGCAGGATGCCAATAATAGACCAACATTCCACACCTGACTGAAGCCATGGGGAACCGCCTATACGATTGCACAACAACTTTTTCGCTTAAATGTATATTTCAACACTGGTTAAATGGAACGACTTACAAAACAACTTACTTAGGGCGAGAGCTGATACAAGCATACAACACATTTGTTCGTCTTTGTGGGGTTGTGTGTTGTTCTTATTGTCATGTTCTGTTTGTAACAGGAGAATGGACCCCCACACGTTATAATTTAATAAAACTAATACGGCCACACATAGATGGTAGGTGACTAAGCGCAGTCATTATCTCGCCACGGGCTTCAGGACAGTATGTAGAAATTACAATTAAACAACCTTTGTACGAACAAACTAATACAACTTCCACGCTCAGAGTTCGTGGCTAACATATCTTTATTTATTTTTCCTTTTTTTAAATAAATACAAAAATGTGCCTTTTATTGCAAGATTCATTTTCAAATGCTAAATTCAACTAACTAAACAAATCTGAAAGCATCGTTATGAGTGTCTCCAGGCTATTAGCTGATCCTCTGTTCAGTGAGGCCAACCCGTTAGTTGAATTGACATTAAAAGGTTTCTGTTAGCATGGAGCATATTGTGCCTTGCAACCGGTAGTTGTATTGTAATCTATTTCTAAAATCAGCCGAAATATTTCTTTTCAAAATTTGTCAACCATACCCTCTGGATGAACACCAAGCCATGTCATCTTAGCGTTAGTAGAAGTGTCCCGATAAATTAATATAACGTTCATGTTCTGTGAAACTGCTTCAACAATACCAAAGCCATGAAGTTTTTATACAAACAAACGAATTGAAAACTTGAATATTAGATAATTCCAATATTATTTTGCATGTGTCACTTCAGTTTTGTGTTTGAAAGCTGACAATGGTCCGTACAACCAAATGTTTGACCTGTACGTTATATTTCATCGGTGTTAAAAGACTATGAATGATTAACCATACGTGTTCGAGTTTGAAGGAAATAAGTTAGGGCATACCCAGGGAAGTTATTTACGGGGAGGCAGATTAGGGGAGCTATTTTTACAACCGGTTTCGTGGGATATCGTATTTGAGCGAGTTCACCTCATTTATGGCTAGGTTGTATTTGCTTTTGGAGTTTTACAGACAACGAAGTAGGATACTAGGCCTCCAGTAACAGATTATCTGTAACCTAAGTGGTCTGGTAGGTGTGTGGTATTACTGCAACCATGCTACACAACTCACATTCTCTTTAATTGATATACATATTTATATATATTAATTAGAATCCACAAAGTAAAGCTGTAATTCTAATATGAATTCTGAATGTTCTCATTGTCAAAGACAACATGTCTGTAATAATGGACCTTAGCTAATACAAAGAAGACTGACATTTACGAAACATGGCAAAAAAAAGTATAGCATGCACAGCAGAATTGAAAAGATGGAAACCTAGGACGAGCTTTGACTTATTCGCCTAACTATAGTTTGTATTAGTGACTTAGATAGCAGGGTGGCGTTAACACACAACAATATGTGCGATTAAGACGGAATCCTGTTGAGCAACCAACGGTGACAAGGTTTTAAATAGCACTAACAGGTGTGTCACAAACCAAAGTTTACTAAGGATTCGGTTCGTTGACTTTTGTCTCCGCCAACAGAATTTACAAACAAAATATCTAGCGGAGTAAGCTATCCCGCTTTACTGACTTATCGACGCTCCTCATTCCATTGCACCTGACAGCGTGTCGGGCTAAATATGGGTGTGATTGTGCACGGCAGGGCGTTGGCCAAAAATTCAAGATGTCGGCCAAATCAATCAATCGCTAGAAAAGCAATGACTGAAGTGACGTCAGATGTGAATGAAAAAGTCTGCTGTGATTTAATTCATCCTGCTACTGGTGATTTGTCACCTGACAATTCATCATATTAACGCGGGGGGGGGGGGGGGGGGGGGGAGTCAATATAATGTGTCTGCGTGTGTATGTACCCAGCAGCCGCTGACAAGGTATACTACACTATATTAGTCAGGACTCCCAATAGAAGTAGTATTACAGCTAACTGGACCCTGTTTGGAGACGTAATAGGTGATAACAAGCCTTAGTATAAACATAATTAGTGTGTACGGCTCCCACTCTGGCATTGAATCCCGGACTAAATGATGTCTGGCGTTTCAATGGTTACATCGGGATGCCATCATGATAATGTTTTGCATTTTACAATATCTCTTATTGCTAAAAAAATAAGCAATCTTAATATAGGATGTTGTTATTCTGCTTGGACATTAACTATCGCCTGATGTGTTCGTTGTAATTATGCAAATTCATTGTTTTTGGTATATCAATTAACTTTATATATAATCATTAATTTAATTATAGTATCGCCATTTTAAATCATTCCTTTTGCCTTAAAAAGTTTTCCACCTAAAACAACTGCCTTATCAATGCAAACGATGTAGCTACGACACAATTGTACATATATTACTTACTTCGATTCCCCCCTGTGTCCGGACTTTTTCACGGACTTTGGCAGACAGGTAGATGCCGGCTATAGGAAATATCCAGTACAGAGCTCCGACCATGATACAACTGTCCCCTACAGCCTCGGCATTTTTACCTGCCGTGTAACAAGGGGCGATGTACGTGATGAGGCACAAGGTACAGTTGTTCATGCACCCACACAGACCATTTGCCCATTCACCCATCCTGTAGTGTTATTTGTAAACTGGTATAGAAATAAGACACTGGTCAGCGCGAGACAAACGACTGCTCTGTACCTGGGCAAATTGTGACCGCTACAGAACTGAACTCACTTTATCTATGAGAAATGGTGGGTTCTGATTGGTGGGAAATAGAACGTAGGTAAAGGGTTAAATCCCCAGGAATTAGCTTGGATTTTCCCCGTGTAAACCGTGCCCTGTTCACTATCACTTGACTGGTGTGTCACCACCTGTAACGGACACGACCAGTACCCGGCTCTACCTGGTATTATTACATTAATACATCTTCCTATGTGATCGATTCTGCCTCAGCAGATTTGATAGCAAACCGACACAGTGTATCGTTAGACTAGGCGTTGACTCGGGTAGAAGTTGAGCAGAACATGTATTATATCATATTGATGTACTATGAACCTGGTCTGATGTACTATGACCTGAGGAAGTGTGTTTTTCCCAAGGTATATTTGATAGCGGCTACAGTGTGTGACCTAAATACACGATAGTAAATGTCTTGAGTGTATACAGATATGCGTCATATAAACAACGAAACTCAATGTTTATACATGTTTAACGGACAGGAACGAGGGATGCTTTAGCATTTCATAGCTGCAGAGTGGTAGTTTTCTAGTCAGAATATGCTTTGTTTCCAATATACCCGTACCAAACAATGTCCCAGGTTTCCATATCAAACAATGTCCCAGGTTTCCATATCAAACAATGTCTAATGTATCTATGTAAAACAATGTCCCAGGTTTCCATATTAAACAATGTCCCAGAATTTCATATCAAACAATGTCCCAGGTTTCCAAATAAACAATGTCGCAATTTTCAATATCAAACAATGTCCCAGATTTCCATATCAAACAATGTCCAATGTATCTATGTAAAACAATGTCCCAGTTTTCAATATCAAACAATGTCCAAGGTTTCCATATCAAACAATGTCCAATGTATCTATGTAAAACAACGTCCAAGGTTTCCATATCAAACAATGTCCCAGATTTCCATATCAAACAATGTCCAACGTATCTATGTAAAACAATGTCCCAGTTTTCAATATCAAACAATGTCCAAGGTTTCCATATCAAACAATGTCCAATGTATCTATGTAAAACAATGTCACAGGTTTCCATATCAAACAATGTCCCAGGTTTTCATATCAAACAATGTCCCAGATTTCCATATCCAACAATGTCCAATGTATCTATGTAAAACAATGTCACAGGTTTCCATATCAAACAATGTCCCAGGTTTTCATATCAAACAATGTCCCAGATTTCCATATCAGACAATGTCCAATGTATCTATGTAAAACAATGTCACAGGTTTCCATATCAAACAATGTCCCAGGTTTTCATATCAAACAATGTCCCAGATTTCCATATCAGACAATGTCCAATGTATCTATGTAAAACAATGTCACAGGTTTCCATATCAAACAATGTCCCAGGTTTTCATATCAAACAATGTCCCAGATTTCCATATCCAACAATGTCCAATGTATCTATGTAAAACAATGTCACAGGTTTCCATATCAAACAATGTCCCAGGTTTTCATATCAAACAATGTCCCAGATTTCCATATCCAACAATGTCCAATGTATCTATGTAAAACAATGTCACAGGTTTCCATATCAAACAATGTCCCAGGTTTTCATATCAAACAATGTCCCAGATTTCCATATCAGACAATGTCCAATGTATCTATGTAAAACAATGTCCCAGGTTTCAATATCAAACAATGTCCCAGATTTCCATATCAAACAATGTCCAACGTATCTATGTAAAACAATGTCCCAGTTTTCAATATCAAACAATGTCCAAGGTTTCCATATCAAACAATGTCCAATGTATCTATTTAAAACAATGTCCCAGGTTTCCATATCAAACAATGTCGCAGATTTCCATTTCAAACAATGTCCAATGTATCTATGTAAAACAATGTCACAGGTTTCCATATCAAACAATGTCCCAGGTTTTCATATCAAACAATGTCCCAGATTTCCATATCCAACAATGTCCAATGTATCTATGTAAAACAATGTCACAGGTTTCCATATCAAACAATGTCCCAGGTTTTCATATCAAACAATGTCCCAGATTTCCATATCAAACAATGTCCAATGTATCTATGTAAAACAACGTCCAAGGTTTCCATATCAAACAATGTCCCAGATTTCCATTTCAAACAATATCCCAGGTTTCCATATAAAACAAATGGCCATGTCTCCATATCAAACAATGACTTGAATGACAGTTGAAATCCTATTTAGCCTTTGTAAGCAAACATAATCGAAGTGGATTCCAAAAGAAAGGGAAAAGGGGAAAAGCGTAAGTACAAAATGTAACCTGTATTATAAAATGGTATTTCAAATGAACGTTTTCCTGTCAGACCTTTCCGTTTGCCATTCCTACAACATTTATATACCAATATTGAACCGGAACCGGAAATCAGACGTTATTTTACACAACTGACGCATCGGACGCCATGATATTCAACTAAACAGAAAAGTACACCAATACAAACTCAAATAATATCAGACATTCAAAGCTTACCTCTGACCCGGTCACATTTTTCAACTGTGTCTTACTCAGTAATATTTGGATCTACTATTAGATATATTTTATTTAAGTATTAAGTTAATTTAAAACAGTTGATATCATCCGATGAGATTTGTGAAACATATGGCTGAAAATACAACTTCCGGTAAGAATGTCAAATATACAAAGTAAAAGGAAAGGTGAAACGCCTTTGGAGATATTGAAGCGAGATTATACCAGAGTATTTCATCACTTAAAATATCTATCATTAGAGAGGACGAAGAGTAGCTAAAACAGTGTCTGCTCGGACTTTTACAGATTTCTCGTAGACACTTCAGAGTTTGTTACCAATAAGAAATACCAAGTAGAGTGTTTCTATTACAAAACACCTTCGATAGCTGTAAACTCTGTGAAGCAGGAAGTAATGTATCAAATGCACTGGGGTTAGTTGTTCAGTCACCATTAGATACCATTGTCCTTTCTCCTATTTTCAAAACTGAACAAATAATCACCTGTCCTGCGTGTAACCTTTAAAAGGCTACTAACACCTCAATAACTCTTATTGTGATTTAGTCACATGACCATCTTATCTTATTATTATCAGGATTAATACAGGGAAGTCACGCAGGCATGGCAGCTGTAATACCAGTAAAGTTAAAATGATACGCTTGGACGCGCATCACGGTCTCCTCTGTAGATATTCAACACGGAAGTAAAAGTAAATTACAGTCACAACTCTAGCATTAGAGCGATTGAACCTGTAGACACGGCAGTCACAACTCTAGCATTAGAGCGATTGAACCCGTAGACACGGCAGTCACAACGCTAGCATTAGAGCGATTGAACCTGTAGGCACGGCAGTCACAACTCTAGCATTAGAGCGATTAAATCTGTAGACACGGCAGTCACAACTCTAGCATTGGAGAGATTGAACCCGTAGACACGGCAGTCACAACGCTAGCATTAGAGCGATTGAACCTGTAGACACGGCAGTCACAACTCTAGCATTACAGCGATTGAACCCGTAGACACGGCAGTCACAACTCTAGCATTAGAGCGATTGAGCCTGTAGACACGGCAGTCACAACTCTAGCATTAGAGCGATTGAATCCGTAGACATGGCAGTCACAACTCTAGCATTAGAGCGATTAAATCTGTAGACACGGCAGTCACAACTCTAGCATTAGAGAGATTGAACCCGTAGACACGCCAGTCACAACTCTAGCATTAGAGCGATTGAATCCGTAGACATGGCAGCCACAACTCTAGCATTAGAGCGATTAAACCTGTAGACAAGCCAGTCACAACTCTAGCATTAGAGCGATTGAACCCGTAGACACGGCAGTCACAACTCTAGCATTAGAGAGGTTGAACCCGTAGACACGCCAGTCACAACTCTAGCATTAGAGCGATAGAATCCGTAGACATGGCAGTCACAACTCTAGCATTAGAGCGATTAATCCTGTAGACACGGCAGTCACAACTCTAGCATTAGAGAGATTGAACCCGTAGACACGGCAGTCACAACTCTAGCATTAGAGCGATTGAACTTGTAGGCACGGCAGTCACAACTCTAGCATTAGAGCGATTGAATCCGTAGACACGGCAGTCACAACTCTAGCGTTAAAAGGATTGTTCATGCGGGAAATAACACGGCACAACATGTTCAAGACCGAGAGCAATCGATAAATGTAATCAATATTAACTCAAAAAACTTTTATATAGAAAATGCGGGGCATTATATACACAAAATTATCACCCATCAATTATAATATATTCACAGTCATTAAATACGCCGGAAACCATTTGGAGAAAAACAATTAAAAAACACACACTGTAGAATAGTGTGCTATTAAAAAGTATGTTAGTTAACTTATTTCTGATTCAAGCAATCCTTTAAGTACATATTGTATCCTTATTTCTGTAAGTAAACAATCCATACCCATCTGTATGCTGTGTTTGACTGGTGTATGGTGAACTAGATAGATGTCGGAGACAACAGACATTGTTGACCAACTGCACTTTTTCTGATTCTGTTCGATTAATAAACGGCATATGATTTAGATGAAACGCATGTGTAGAACGAACTTATTAATAATAGTTTGCTCTGGTTAAATGAAAAGTTATGAATAATCTAAAACGTCCCTTATACCGAGTGCACCGAGTCATCAAATTGATAGGATCACCCAGGCGTATCGTCGGTGTCAACATGGCAACGACGCTCAAGGAATCGCCCTAGCACGGCGCGTGTGTTTATCATCAGTCACTTCTGAATAATTAAACTCCCAACCCTTTGTTAGCTCACACGGGTACAAGTATCAGTAAATGCAACACAAATTTACATTCATATTCGCGCATGGTGTCTAATGGAGGGGGGGGGGGGCGGAAATAACAATAAAATTCTTCTTTGCTTTTGTTGATTACAAAAAGTTTATTAGGTATTCTAATCAAACTTTACAAATTAATTTAGGGACAGTATTTTTATGATTTGTTCGCATTAGACAGATGAGGAAACATTATGTTCAAATTCTCTGCTTTAGTGAATATTTTCACTAA